TTTAAATGCTGTACAATTTCTAATTGACTCCTTCTACTATAGGTTTGTGAACCGTGCTCTGATAGAAACCCACCATAACCGTCTATTAATAAAAAGTCACCGGCTAACCTGATAGTCACCCAGTGGAATATTCGTTAGATTAATCAATTTTTAACTATACACGATAACACAAAAAATAATATGTTCGAGTTATAACGGCTACAGCTCAGAGGGTGGATTTATCTTTTAAGATTCAGAAATATGATATTGTATGGTTCAGTTTTTTTTTTTAAATCATTTTGCAAGGTTTTATAAAGTTTTGTTAAATAATACCACTACTACTACTAGCCTACTACTACTACTACTAGTAGTAGTAGTACCGTAGTAGTACCGTAGTAGTAGTAGTAATATTAATAATAATAATAAATAATAATAATAATAATAATAAAGATAATAATAATAATAATGACGATTGTGATAATTATAATAGATAATAATACTACTAATAATATTAAAAAGTGAAGAAAGTTGTGCTAAAGGCGAAAAAGACTATAGTTAGGCCTAAGTAGTCCTCAATATTAAGTAGATCCCTGATTTAAAAAAAATCATGAGAAATTTGTTGGCGCTTCATTTTGACTATATAATTGTGATGTGATGATGATGAATTTTACTACAGTAAAATTCATCATCATCACATCACAATTATATAGTCAAAATGAATTTTACTACAGTAAGGCCTATATAAAAGTGTCACATCCGGCCATCTGAGGTAATATTTCCTCAAATTTGTCGGACCTCAGCCATCTGGGGCTGAGGTGGTTGTGAAATCACGGCTTTGAAGTAGGCCTATGTGAAGTACATACTAAAAGACAGTGTTTATAAACTTTATTTTCTATTGTACATCACACATATTAATAAGACCTCTATGGTTGCCGAAAATTCCTGATAAAGGATCATGAGAAATTTGTTGGCGCTTCATTTTGACTAGGCTATATATATTAATGATGATGTGATGATGATGAATTTTAAGCTACTAAAAGTGTCATTTCTGACCATCTAGAGGTAGTACGTTCTCAAATGTTCGCATCTCAGCCCCAACCTCATCAAATGTCCCCCTCCACCTTTCAAAATAGATCTGCACCCTTCCTTGAGTATTACATTAAACTCCATTGAGTCGGCACCTGACTCAGAGTATGTCCTGGTGACTGCTGGGCGAGGGTGCATACATTTTTTTTTAGGATGTGATCGGCTTTCATGCCCATTTTTCATGATTATGACTACAGTATTTTGGATAAAGAATGTTTTGAGCATTGGTGGATTTAAGGACCCCCACCCCTGGCTTTTCTTAATGGAATAAGCAAAGAAATCGGACAAATATGTGTAAAGTTAAGCTATTTTGAATTATAATTATTCTCTATAAACTGGCCTATAAAGTTCTGAGCAAAAGGGCTTTAAAAGTCCTGAAGAAATTGAAGACAAATCACAGCAGCAGTCAAAGAAACTCCTTTGCAACAACACAGTTCCCATTGAGCTATTGCGATTTTCTACGGTTTGCTGGAAATAGGTTTTGGAACAGAAATCTTCTATTTTTAAGTCAATACCCCAGGGGTTAATTGGTGATACCCGGGGGAAAATTGGTTATACCTTTATAAAGCTGAAACATCCACGTACTGATTATGCCATCCCTATTGTTCTGATGAATTTAGTAGACATAAGAAGTCAAGCCTTGTTGGAGAGGGTGTTTTGTCGGGGTGTGGATGAAAAAGGGGCGGGGTGGGGTTATGGTTCAGAATTATCAAGTATTTACAAGTAACGCACCCCCCCCCCCCAATCGAAAATCGTCCACTAATTATAACCAAAAAAATGTGACCTTGTTTCCAGAATCATTATAAAATGAATCGCAGTACAGTATTAAGATTGTATGAATGTAAATGAGTTACAATAAGAATACTAGAGCGCTGACTCCACACTCGCAATCTTTTGTAGCCTACTGCCAGCAACATAACACAACAAACCTTACTTGTACAGCCGTCTTCTTATTCACACTTCTTCACAGGACGTCCGAACGTCATCCCGAAAACCTAACATAATGTGCAGACCACATAACATAATGAGCAAACCACATAACGTTATGACCAAACTACAGTAACATCATGACCAACTCCACATAACATAATGAGAAACCACATAACATCATGATCAAACCACATAACATAATGACAAAACCACATAACATAATGACCAAACCACATAACATAATCATAGAGTGTTTGCACATAACCGAAGATACTAACGGCGTTCCATAATGGAATGCGTGAATGACATGGGCCAGAGGAAGGGGAATTCCCGGATTTTTTGTGCGGCTTTCAACCTCTGACATAACATTATTAAAAAGTGAATAGGCCTAGTATCAAAATATTCCAAACATTTTAAATTACCTTTCTTTCCGTTTTACTTAATTTACTTAGATGTTTCAAATATTTTCTTTAGGACTGTAGGTATCATATAATAATTATTTAATAAAGAATATATGTGTTCATACGGCATAAACTTTTATATAAGTCCACTGTCAGTCACCATTTAATTCTTTGAATCTCCATAATATTTAATATCATAAGCATTAATTTCCTATTTGATGTTCTCTCCGGCAGTTGTTTGTGATTTGACATCAAGGAGAAAATGAAGTGATTGTTGACAGAAGATATCATACGAAATAGGCCTATTAATATATAATTATATTAATTCATAGAGCTGCAATTTTTAAGCGCAGACTTATTTGCAGAGAGGATTACCTAGTCCAGGCATCACAGAAAGAACGGAAGATAGGAATACGGTTACCCAGAGCTCTGTACCTTCGGCAGATGCAATCATCATGACGGTAAAGACAACTGTGTGAGATTGTGCTTTTAATAGTTAAAATCGGTTGACATTGACTTGAATCAATTGATATTAAAATAAATTCCAGCAGCTAGCGTAGCCAGGCCTAGCCCATAAATAAACGCCGTGGTTAGAGATACGGTACCGTATTTCTACTTCGTTTTGCTAAAGGTACGGTAAATGGCATTATGTCACCATCACCCATTTTTTGAAGACTGGCATTGCATATCACCCACAATCAGCGTGACCACTGCTTGGGTATTTACCCAAGATCTTTAATAGTATTTTGACTTGGTCTTGGGATTTTGGGTATTCCGTTCAAATCCTTGGGTTGGGTATTCAGGGGCGGATCCAGAAATGTCCAAAAGGGGGGGGGGGGCCGAAAGTTGGGCCGATTGAGACAACTATGACGTAGGGGGTCCAGGGCATTCCCCCGCGAAATTTTTGTGTTCTAGACGCCCGAACATAACATTTGAGGCATTCTTGGCCATCATTTTTTCCTTTTTCTCTCTTTTTTTTCTTTTTTTTT